GGATTCGCCCAGGACCCACTGGGGCCCTTACGGCGGCCCCAGACCTCTTGCCTAAACAAAGTTATACCTGTCCCCTCCTCAAATCCTGTATCCGAATATGGTATATAAATGATTAGTCTTTTAGAATAAATTGATCAAGGCACGGTAAGACAGAAGAAAATAAATAATCTGTCCTTGATAATCTTGAAAATAAATAATCTGTCCTCGACAGGCATGAAAATAAATAATCCGTCTCAAAAAATTTTGCCGCCCCCCCCCCCCCCTCAGGATCAAATGGTCGTCCCCTTAGTGTAGTCTACTTGTGTGCCAAGTTAAATTGAAATCAGACCAAAACTGTAGAAGGAGTAGTGTTTTAAAGGAATTTCACAGAAAATTCTATTTTTAGTAACCACGGCAACACTATTCATCGAAATCAAAAACCGATGCACAGAATTATGTGTCTTAGTGTAGTCTACTTGTGTGCCAAGTTACATTGAAATCGGACCAAAACTGTAGGAGGAGTAGCATTTTGAAAAATTGTTTACAGACAGACAGACAGACGGACGACAGACACCTTACTATTGCATAAGCTCTTCTGGTCTCTGACCAGTAGAGCTAAAAACCGATGCACAGAATTATGTATCTTAGTATAGTCTACTTGTGTGCCAAATTATATTGTAATCGGACCAAAACTGTAGGAGGAGTAGCATTTTAAAATAATTTCTCAGAAATTTCTATTTTTAGTAACCATGGCAACACCGTTCATCGAAAGCGAAAACCCATGCACAGAATTATGTATCTTAGTGTAGTCTACTTGTGTGCCAAGTAATACTGAAATTGGACCAAAACTGTGGGAGGAGTAGCATTTTCGAAAAAATTTCACCGAAATTTCTATTTTTAGTAACCACGGCAACACCATTCATCGAAATCAAAAACCGATGCACAGAATTATTATCGGCCGCAGCAGCGGCCGATCTATTTGTGATTGTGTTTGAAAGTGCACATGGGGAAATGAGACGTTATTTTTATATTACTTCAATAAAATGATAACAAGTAAAAATCATGAGTAAAATATTTTAAAAACTTGCTTAAACTTAGTATTAAATGTTGTTATTAAATTTCAGTTTCATTATCATTTCTCATCAGATCATCGATAATTTATGGTAAATATAAAAAGAGTTTACATTAGCTACTCCCCAGCCTGGGAGTGTGTAAGATATGAAAAGAAATCGTCAAGATTTTCCGGATAATAATGATGTGGTCCCAAGTGCATAGTGAATGAAAAATTGAGGAGTTTTTCAACTACTAATAAAAATTGTTTTGAATGCATTTGGTCTACATCTACAAAGGACACATTTTTTTTTTTACATTTTGCACCGCGACCTGCAGAAACCATGGGCATTATCACGTGACCAATATCCAGGGTATCAGCACGTGTTTCATCTTTACAAGCCTACATCTTTGTTTTGATGACAATAGATTCTTATAATTCATCAACGAACATGATTTTTTTTACATCGATAAATCTATTTATTAGCTAATGTGGTAATGTCTATTTAGGCTGTTTAAGATTAATTCTACGTTTAACGTCACCCGCGCGCGTAGGTTTTGGAGAAAATCGTCTTTGAAAAAAACAAACAATTCGGAATTCCGTATTTCCGTTCCGGTTTGGTTCTATATTTAGCGACTCAATTCTGCATCCCGTAGTGACAGAAAATGTGCTTTGATACCTCAGTAGATGGTGTTTGTGTTTATTGAATTAAACAGTATGGGATCATAAATGTAAGTAAAAAAAATTGATGTTTTTATGATTGAAGTTAATGACAAAGTCTAGTTTGTTGATTTTTTTTTTTGTCAGTCTTCGAATCATATGTACCATGTGTAAAGACTGTGACAATGACAGACTCAGTTCGTGATTATTTTGGCTGAACTTTTCATCGTATTTTGGAGAGAATTGCAGAGCTTTTAACTGAGTGCAAGATGTGTAAAAAAAAATTATATACAGTGAGATGCATCATCTAAATTTTATCAAATACTTTCATATTAAATATTTGTAAAAATTCAAAGGAACAGTAATGAGTAAGATTGATTTCTTCATAATTCAGGTACGTACCTAGTATAAATACCTACATGTTTTTGGAAAGATAATACTAGTCTTTGCCATTTGAGCAGGGAGAAGCTTACAGAAGATAAGCCTTTCAAGTGAAGGAGAGTAAGGAAAGTTGTTGGGTATTTTAAGAAGTGAAGAACCATGTCCTGTATGTGGAATTGAAGGTATTTAGAATAAACTACATGTAATACACTTTCAAATCTAAATTCTAATAGATCTAGTACTGTGAGAAAAAAATACAACATAATTCAATTTCAAGATATTTCAATGTAAGAATGTATTAAATATTGTCATCATAATCTTTATTGTAGATATTGATCAACTATTCCCACAAGAAGAAGCATTTCCTTACAGGGCACCATGGATGTGAGGCAATATAAATCCAAAGGACAAGCAACTTTCCTGCATATTGCTCACAACAGGACTCAAACCAATTAACATTCTAAGGAAAAACTCTGCTAGGGAAATTAAACTTAGGTGTCACATCCAATACTCTTATTACTCAATTCTAGTTAATGTACTGAAATGGTTTATTTGAATAAATTCACAATTGTTTGAAATTTTTGTTTGTTTATTTTTTTCCTCCCTCCCTCGTAGGTTTTGAACTTTAGATGTGACGTTAAACGTAGAATTAACTTTGAACAGCCTTATTTAATTCTTTAAAAATATTTATTGTGCTTTGAAGACTGCATGACTGAAATAAAAATGATTCAAATATTTCACATTTGAATATCTTGATGTGCATTCCTTGATTGTGAAAGAATTTTTTTAAATGCTTAATTTTGTTTGCGGCCGATTTGATGCTTTGATCAATTCAACTTGTGTATCTTAGTGTAGTCTACTTGTGTCCCAAGTAATATTGAAATTGGACCAAAACTGTAGGAGGAGTAGCATTTCGAAAGAATTTCACAGAAATTTCTATTTTTAGAAACCACGGCAACACCGTTCATCGAAATCAAAAACTGATGCACAGAATTATGTATCTTAGTGTAGTCTACTTGTGTGCCAAGTTATGCTGAAATCGGACCAAAACTGTAGGAGGAGTAGCATTTCGAAAGAATTTCACAGAAATTTCTATTTTTAGTAACCACGGCAACACCATTTCTTCGAAATCATAAACCGATGCACAAAATTATGTATCTTAGTGTAGTCTACTTGTGTGCCAGGTTATACTGAAATCGGACCAAAACTGTAGGAGGAGTAGCATTTTGAAAAATTGTTTACAGACAGACAGACAGACAGACGGACGACGGACGCATTACTATCGCATAAGCTCTTCTGGTCTCTGACCAGTAGAGCTAAAAATTTAAAGAGTGGCTTTCTTCTTTTTTTAAATCAATTTTTAAATAATAAATTGTCCTCAGTTTTCCTCAGAAAATCATATGTTATTTCTATCTGCATTAAAAATACCCGAGAAAACGGACTGAATTTTGTTACATAATACCTTTGCAATTACCGCAATTAATGTAGCTCAGTAAATATAACAACAAGAGCTCGTAAAAAATACATTTCACTAATGAAGATGTTTCGTTGGGCTAATGGAACATCGCTAGTTAAAACTAGATCATCATTTCAGAGGAAATGTATAAATATATTTTCTTAATAAGCTTGTTTAAGTCGATCTGTATTGAAAAGGTAAGTGAGCATTGTCATTTTTCTGAAAGAAAATTTCTTAAAATTCTGATTTGTATGATTTATTTCGCCATGGATCGATATCCTGACCTTTTCAGTAATGAATGTGGTCCCATTGGGGAAATTCTTTTAATGTTTCCATGTAAACATACCACATCACCAAAGAAACTTATAAGCTAATTACAAGGAAAAAATCTTAAAGCAAAATTTTTAAAATCTTCATAATATGACGATGCAACATTACAATTGAAGGATCCCCATTGTTGAGGCAATATTGTTTCTGTACATTGAAATATGTTTTCTCCTAATGGACGAAGAACAGATGTTTTTAACGTTCATGAAATAGACTGATTTGTTGACTTAATGAGAAGTATAGATGTGTTAACAAACAAAGGCTAACTGCTGGTACGAGAAGGTAAATATATACTTAATCTACTCACTGTCTTTCGTCAGTTTGCAGAAAGTGCGCCATTGCTTTCAATTGCTAAACATGATTACAATAAATTCCAGATTTCTGACTGTTCCTTACAAGCAGAACAATTAATATAGTTTGCCTTGAAGAAACGTCTTTTAACATTACTTTTTTGAGAATTTTGTCCTTCATTTTTTGATAAAAAGAGCATTACAAATGCATTCAATATGATAAATGTATTTTGTGTATATATTTCTTTTGCGTATATTGAATAATATTTCATTATTTGGTATATGTTTGTTGGAATATATGCTAAGTGAATTACATAATCTTTTCTTCCTTTGAAAATTATTTGTTTAAAGGTGTGAATGCACAAGCGTGCGATATCACTGATTTATGTTCACATGTGAATATTTGTATGTTTTTAAAAGCAGAATTAATAAATACACTTAAACCCTGGCACTAGTCCGTATTGCATGGGTCTTTCAATTTCAAAGTGCGAACAATTACCGTATTGAAGTGATTTAATTCAAATGTTTTTATAGCTATAAAAATGACATTTTCATTTCAGACCTCTCATGAAAACATAAAATACACACAGTTTTCATGTCTTTAAATCATAAGACCTATAGATTCTCTTTCCCACTTACATATTTTCATATCATTGCCAAGTCTCAATACGACTGCTTTGGAACGTTGGAACATCATTACAGGCAATATATCCCCGTAACAAATGTAACGGGCCTACTTTTTTTCTTGCAATTTCTTGGAAACGATTAATTGTAGTCTTGGCAACAAATAACCTTTAACTAATTTCACGTCCCCTGGTAACTTGAAATAATTACCACTATTTTGTTTTTCTTGCAGGTGAACGATAAGGCAACGATTTTTGATAGACACCTGTAGAAGTTCCCAAATTTTTCACTTCACGGACAACAATTTTGAGATACAGCATCCATGATGGAGTTAAAAACAGGAAATGCAGTTGACCAAATTAGTTTTAGAGCGGACAACCACACGGGACATGTTGTCATTCAAAGTTGCATGTATGTGTGTCCGGTTGAGTAGATTACATGGTCCGTGTTGAAAATTGTGAAAAATAAACATTATAAAAATATGTTTGACAGTGAATGGATTAATCTTGACCAAAACGAGGTACGTTCCTTTATCCTAATCTGACAGTTGATTATTTTAATGAAAATGTTTGATATCCTATTTTAAATAATAATACTATTAATTCATTAAGGCGCTTTTCTTGGTTTTAAAACTTTTATAAATTAATTGAAAAAGAAGATTTTTATCAATAATATTAACAAATTAAACTGAAAGCATTAAAAAGTTATATATTGTTGACATTTTCTTAAAAGCTTTCATTTAAGAAATTTGGAGTAGGCATGTGTTTTATCTTCGGATTTTCCATATATCCTTAATATAAAAAAAACACAGAAAAGAATGTATTTTCTGAAATGTTTATTTTATCAGCAGTAATATCTTATCAGACACTTTAATTTAGACTTGTTTGAAGATAATTTTTTATAAGTAATATTTATCAAATTTAATATTTATCAAATTTATTAAAATTTATATATTCACATGATGATTACAGGGAAATGAAATAACTTAATTTCATCTTATATAATTTGTTTACTTTCCCTTTATGGGATTGGGATGCCCATCTTAAGTTACAGTCTGAGGAAAATATAGCTTAACATAAAACTTTATCACAAAAGAATCAAGAAAGAACACAAAACTGATCAGGATAAATAAGCCAGCGTTTGAATTATATTTTTACTCTTACTTTCATGAACAACCGACGTTAAGAATTAGTAATGCATACTTAATGAAAATCTGCCCATTTCGAACCAATAACACACTCATCCAACGAAATCCCAGCGGAGGAATAAACTCGATAGAAAGCAAGCATTTTCTAAAACGTTAACTGTATTGTTCACGGAGGCGAAAGCATAAAGAATAGGTCTCTCTCATGCAGAATGAAAGTTAGTCTTAGAACTCGTTGGCAATCAACAAACGATATACCGAGGGCACGATGGTCATTTATATTCTTGCTAAATGTAGCTCTTAGAAGTTTCGAGGGCGCCTGCGAGGTTTATATAATGGATTGACATTAAATGAAAAATTGTATTCTGCCTCAGTGCAGGTCAAATCATCTATCTATAAAACTTGGTATATGACGTCAGTTAGGGCTAAAGGATTCTGATTCCTTGATTCAGTTTGGAAATCATTTTACTAAATGTCATTTTGTGCCATACCCTATGAAAGTTCTCATTGTTACTTGATATGAAATTATGAAAATAAAACATTTCTGTGACATTTATTCTTTTATGGTTAAAGTTTTTCGATTCTGTTAAGACTTAAAGTTTGCCAAATGAATAAAAAAATCCAGAAACTCCTTATTCACAATGAGTATGGTCCGTTAATGGTGTCTTCAAATGCGAGCGTGTGCTCTAGAATCGCGAAGTAAGGAGTTGATCCTTACGTACGCCGCGGGTTCGAATCCCACTATGAGACGTGGAGACCGGTCCTTCGGATATAATCGTATAAACCGAGGTCCCGTGTCGCAGTAGGTGCTGGCACGAAAAAGATTCCCCCTGCTGAATGGCCCTAAGAGCCGAGTATAGGACGACTAAATTTGTTGCTCCCCACCGGCAAGAGGTGGCGTCTCCATAGTGAAAAATTATCGGGAGGGACGTTAAACAATATACAATCAATCAAGTTATTAAACGCGATTTAGTCGCCCACATGACGCAGAGGGTAGAATGACTGCCATAGAGGAGTTGATCCTTTAACAGCGGGTTTGAACACCACCGTGTGACGTAGAGACCGGTCCTTTGGATGAGACCATGTAAATCGAGGTCCCGCTTCTCGCAGTACGTGCTGGCACGAAAAAAAGATCCCTTACTGCTCCATGGCCGTAAGTGCCAAGTACAGGGTTAAATTTGCTGCACTCCACAGGCAAGTGGTGGCTTCTCCATACGAGTAAAAATTCTCGAGAGGGTCGGTAAACAACATACAAATGCGAATTATGTTGACCATGCAACTCATAACACTTGTCATTAAATATCGTTTCCGATGTGAGCATTGAATGAATGAATTACAGATATTTCTATGAAAGACATTGTGTAACAAAACTATCATAGTACATGTAGTGTTTTTTAAATCCAGGTTTTATTTTAGCAACCAAAAAAAAAATGCATGGAACCGCGTCATGTAACTGGTAATTTTTTCAATATTTTGCAACCAAAAAAAAAAATATACAAATTGAAAATATACATGTATGCATTTTGAAAAAAGAAAATTAAGTGGAAACCCACTTATACGGGAAAAAATATCTATGTACGCCAAAAAAGTCATTTTTGCCCATTCTATTTTATGAACAAATACTAGCACATGTATTTTCAATGCTTGTGAGGTTGTAGTAGATATTGTACATGAAGAGTTTTAGTGTCATGATAACTGGTATATCAAAGAAAATTTCGTTATGATTGATTTAATTTTTCTCGACCATGTTCTTCAGTAAATGGGAGTTTTAAGAACCTTGTGTCCAGGGTGCTTCGGATGAGACCTTAAAATCCGAGGCCCTGTGTCAAAGGAGGTGCTGGCACGATAAGGATTCCTCACTGCTCAGTGACCCTGGGTGCAGAGTTAAGGTCAAAATTTGAAGCCCTTCATCTGTATAGGATGACGTCTCTATATAAGTGAAATATTCTCGAATGGGGCGTAAAACAACATGCAATCAATCAATGCTTATGACATTATGTCCATAATTACGGTTTGCTGTTCAACCAAATCTGTCTACAATACTTTGGCGTCAGAGCTGCAGCAAACATTTCCTTGTTATGCAGAACCCCCGATTTTTTGTATTTTTGAATTGGTACTTAAAGATATTGTTTATAGTACGTAGCATGTCCAATTAAATAGGAATATGAAGGTCGAGCTAATTAGCAAAGTCCACATACGTCTATTATATTCTGGTTAATTTCAATATAACATTGGCACACAAGTAGACTCAAAGATATAAAATTCTGTGTATCATTGATTACGATGAACGGGAAACCGTGATGTTCGCTAAAATAATTTCTGTCAAATTCTTTCAAAATGTATCCTTTGTTATAAGGCTTCTGAAATAGCTGTTTTTCCAGGTTAAAACTTGGCACACAAGTAGACTCGCACTAAGATCACATAATTCTGTGTATCGGGAAATTCGATTGAACGGTGTTGCCGTGGTACAAAAATAGCCAAATTTTCTGTCAAATTCTTTCAAAATGCTACACTACCTAAGTTTTTGCGCGATGAAATCAAAAATGGTAAAAAAAAAAATTAAAGGAACATAATTCTCTGTATCGGTTTTTGATTTCGATGAACGGTGTTGCCGTGGTTACCTAAAAAAAAATTTCTGTCAAATGCCACAATGCTACTCGGCCTTCAGTTTTTGCCCTTCGGATAATGGCACACAAATGACGTCACCGGAAACTTACATTTTCTGTATATCGGTTTTTGATTTCGAAAACATGTTGCGGTGCATAGCAACATAGTGGCTAAAAATAGCAACAATTTCTGTGAAAATTCTTTAATGCAATCTCTTTTCCATAAGTTTTGGCCTGATTTCAGTATAACATGGCACGCAAGAACTTTACACTAAGATACATAATTCTGTGTATCGGTTTCTGATTTGATGAACGGTGTTGCCGTGCTTGGGAAATGATTTTTGTGAAATTGTTTTGTTCCTTATTCTTTTTGCTTTCGATATAACTTGGCATGAATGCTAGACAGTACATAATTCTGTGTAGGTTTTTGATTTAAATGAACTGTGTTGCCTTGGTTACTAAAAATAGAAATATCTGTAAAATTGTTTCAAAATGCTACTCCTCCTACAGTTTTGGTCTGATTTCATATTTTGGAACGTAATAGACTACAGAAAATATAATTTATGTACTGGACATTTTTTTCGATGAATGTGTAGAACCTGGTTACTAAAAATGAAATTTTTGTGAAATTCTTTCAAAATGCTACTTTAACAAGTTTTTTTTTTCTGAATTTTTTTTTGGCACACAATAAGACAGTTAAGAAAAATTCTGTATATCGAATTTAATTTTGATGAACGAATTTGCCATGGTTACTAAAAATAGATATATATATAAAAATTGTTTCAAAATGCTGAATTCCTACAGTTTTTGTCTGATTTCAGTATAACTTGGCACACAATGATACACTAAGAAAAAGAGATTTATCAACGATCATTTTTCTATTTAGTTTCAAATCCCAGCTGCTTAAGTACTTTTCTCTTCCTTTGCTATAAGTTCAAACCAGTAGACCAGTACCACGTTCTGGTTGTATTTTTGAATTGGTACTTAAAGATATTGTTAAGAGTACGTAGCTATATATAGCATGTCCAATTAAATGGGAATATCAACGTAAAGTTAGTATTCGAAAGTCTACATACGTGATTATTTCTTTTTCAAATCCACAAATTAGCACCTGAATCAAAAGCCTATATAAAATATAGCGTATTTCTTTTTGTCATTAAAATATACTTATACTTCAGCATTGCATTGCCGGTTGGTTTTCTACTTGCCTTTGGTATTAACACATGTAACACACACAAGGCTTCTGAAATAGCTATGTTTTAGAAATAGTTATTTCCAGGTTTCTACTCATATAAGGTAGACAATCTATATGTGTTGTTATGACACATGATGGAGGGTATTCATATTTTTTATCGTATATGATTGAGCAGAAAATATAATTTATTTACTGGACATTTTTTTCTTACTGATGTGTAGAACCTTTTACTGCCCTGCATTTTTTTTTATTTTTCACATATTTTTGAATTTAACAAGTTTCTTTTTTTTCACTTATTTTTTTTTATCCATCGTATAAAACAGTTTGGAAAAATACTCCATACTTGCATTTACGAAACAGAATTATCGAATTCATAGAATATATATATATATGAAAAAAGCTTTCAACACATTCTGAATTATACTGTTATTTGGTGAGATATCCAGAGGGACAAATGATTTTTTAAAAAACCGGATTTTCAAATCAGTGCATCGCCGGACCAGATACCACGATCAATACGTATCTTTCCCCTCGGGAGACGCGATATCAACGCTATAACTTCGAATTCTATTGTA